ATGTTGAGAGTAAAGTGCAATTACTCAAAATTTATTAATCTCATATATTATGAAGAAGAAAACATATTGACTAATCTCACCTTCCAAGTTGTTATTACCCAGATATATTTCAGTAAGTTCGGTCAAGTTCCCAATGCTTCTTGGGATGTATCCAATGAATGTATTATTCCCTAGAGACAAACCCTTAAGCTTCTTGCATTTTCCTATACTTGAGGGAATTGAGCCTTGTAATCGATTCTCATACAGATAAAGTACCTCAAGATTTGGCAGGTGGTAGCACAAGTCAGTAGGAAGGGTACCAGAAAGGTTATTTGTGTAGAGATAAATCCATCTTAAGGAAGAGATATTGAAAATATTTGGTGGAATGAAACCAAAGAAGCTTGCATTTCCAGCAACAAATCTCTCCAAATTATGAAGATTACCTATCTCCTGTGGTATTTCCCCTGCAAAAAATTGGGAGCTTAGAGTTTTATTGAGGAATGATGAATCTTGACTTAATTTTTAGGAGATACTTTCAAAGAAAAGAAGACAAATTAGAAAGATATGAAATCACACCTTTTACTTTTGTATGTATCTGAAAGATATATTTCTCTTAGCTTGGTTCTAGATATAGTTCTTGTAAGTTAGTTTTTTTCTACTTTGAGAATCTCCAACTTTGAAAGCAAACTAGAGCTATGAAGAATAAACTTAAAAAATTTAAGGGGGTTTGCATTAGATTGATACCTATAAGGAAATTTTTATCAATGCATCTATTGTTGAGAGTAGAGTACAATTACTCCAAATTTACTAATCTCATATATTATGAAGAAGAAAACATATTGACTAATCTCACCTTCCAAGTTGTTATCACCCATATATATTGCACTAAGTTCTGTCAAGTTCCCAATGCTTCTTGGGATGTATCCAGTGAATCTATTATTCCCTAGAGACAAATCCTAAAGCTTCTTGCATCTTTCTATACTTGAGGGAATTGAGCCTTGTAATTGATTCTCCTATAGATAAAGTAGCTTAAGATTTGGTAGTTGGTAGCACAAATCAATAGGAAGGGTACCAGAAAGGTCATTTGTGTAGAGATAAATTCATCTTAAAGAAGAGATATTGAAAATATTTGGTGGAATGAAACCAAAGAAGCTTTCATTTCCAGCCACAAATCTCTCCAAATTATGAAGGTTACCTATCTCGTGTGGTATTTCCCTTGCAAACAATTGGTAGCTTAGAGTTTAATTGAGGAATGATGAATCTCGACTTAATTTTTAGTAAATACTTTCAAAGAAAACAAGACAAATTAGATAGATACGAAATCACACCTCTTACTTTTGTACATATCTCAAAGATATATTTCTCTTAGCTTGGTTCTAGATATAGTTCTTGTAAGTTAGTTGTTTTCTACTTTGAGAATCTCCATCTTTGAAAGCAAACTAGAACTACGAAGAATAAACTCAAAAAATTTAAGGGGGTTTGCATTAGATTGATACCTATAAGGAAATTTTTATCAATGCTTCTAATGTTGAGAGTAAAGTGCAATTACTCAAAATTTATTAATCTCATATATTATGAAGAAGAAAACATATTGACTAATCTCACCTTCCAAGTTGTTATCACCCAAATATATTTCAATAAGTTCGGTCAAGTTCCCAATGCTTCTTGGAATGTATCCAGTGAATCTATTATTCCCTAGAGACAAACCCTTAAGCTTCTTGCATTTTCCTATACTTGAGGGAATTGAGCCTTGTAATTGATTCTCATCCAGATAAAGTACCTCAAGATTTGGCAGGTGGTAGCACAAGTCAATAGGAAGGGTACCAAAAAGGTTATTTGTGTAGAGACAAATCCATCTTAAGGAAGAGATATTGAAAATATTTGGTGGAATGAAACCAAAGAAGCCTGCATTTCCAGCAACAAATCTCTCCAAATTATGAAGATTACCTATCTCCTGTGGTATTTCCCCTGCAAAAAATTGATAGGTTATAGTTTAATTGAGGAATAATGAACTTCGGCTTAACTTTCAGCATATACTAACAAAGAAAAGAAAACAAATCGGAGAAATATTAAATCTTGCCTCTTATTTTCGTATCTCCAATATATATTCGCCTTAACTTAGTTAAGTTACCAATGTTTCTTGATATAGTTCCTGTAAGTTGGTTGCTTCCTACTCTAAAAATCTCCAACTTTGAAAGCAACCAAATATCATCGGCGATGCTTCCATAAAGAAAATTGTGGCTTAAGTCTATGAGTCTCAAACGCTGCAGCTTCCCAAATTCTGAAGGCAAATGGCCATGGAAGTTGTTTCTACTCAAGTTAAGAGAAACAAGGAATGAGAGGTTTCCCAGTTTGGGAGGGAGGCTTCCAGTGAGGTTCATGTTTGGAAGATCCAAGGTTGTGACTCTACGATGAAGAGCACCGCAAGAAACACCAACCCAGTTACATATTGAGGTGGCAGAAGTCCAGTTGGAGGACATGATATTAAGAGGATCAGAAGTGATGTGAGCTTTGAATTCAAGAAGGGCAAATTGGTCTGTGGTGAAGTTTGGTTCAGACATGGCTAAGGCAGCCATGAAGCATTCCATCAACAACATTGGAAGGAAGATAAAGCCCATGATCGTGTTGTCCATTGATGCTGGAAAATACCTACAACTCAAAATCAAAGAGATGGCATTATAACAAACACTTTCTACAGTTTATTTTATTTTATTTTTTGGCCCTGATAAACTTTTTCCTCGGTTAATATATAAATTTGTTCTGAAATGTTAAGCTGAAGAAAAATTGTAATTAAATGTAAACCAAAAATTGATGAATTTGATTTTAAATAAAACATTCAATTATTAAAAAGTCTTCGGCAAACTGATGTTTTTTTTTTTTTTTTATTGAATTGTTATCAACTTACTTGCCTCCAATAGTTATCAAATTGCTATGATAAGAAGGAAATGAGATGGACTAAAGAAAGAAGAGAAAAGCCAGAAAATCTAACCTGCTTAAGTTGATTTCTGAACTCTAAACAATGCTACGGAAACAAGCATGAAGTATAGTACTTAAATAAGAATAAATAGAAGTTGTAAGAGAAGGCAGGGGCAAATTAAGAATTTGTCAAGTCGATGTTGGTCTTTGCCCTGTCACTGTCACAGTGTAACAGCAAAAGACTTTGGAGGTCACTCTTTTTATTTTCTTTTATTTTATTTTTTATTTTTTATGAAAGACTTTGGAGGTCACTGAGAGAAGGATGATCTGTGAAGAACTATGTATGTTTATTTATTTATTTTTTATTTTTAAACTGGAGGTTGAAATTCGGACGCAGCACGCAGGCTAGTACGGGAAATAACCAGACGCAGAGCACTTTTACTAAATAGGCTAAATTGAAAGTACGAGGAAAACATGTTCTAAATAACTTTTTTTTTCTTGAACAGCTTTAGTGGAATAACTGTTGATTAGCGTCTCATTTTTAATTTACTTTGTTTTTATGGTTTAATAAAAAAAAATAGCAACTATATCCAACAAAGCGTGACCAGAAAATCGTAATAAGCTAACCACAAAGTCTTTGTATGGTTTTAAAAATCGGGAGGGGAATTGCAATCCCTTCAAACTAAATGGGTGGAAGAGTGCAATCTGCCAGTGCCTTTCTCACTCCCAGTCTCAGCATTATTGTTTGATGTTTCTACTAAATTGACTTCGTCTCAGATCCACTCCTTCACTCGGGATGAGATGAAAGTTGAGTTTGTGGTTTTTCATTGCCTTCTTTTATTGCAATGGGTTTTTTTCAACAAGAATTTTAAAGGCACAAATCAACAATATATTGATCATATTTGTTTTTATTAATTCATATAAGAAAACTAAAAAATAATTTTATTTT